CCCCAAAACCCCAAAACCCCAAAACCCCAAAACCCCTTATTTTTGAGTAAGAGTTGAAAGCAAATTTTAGGGGAATCTTGTGTATTTATCTGTGGATAATGGTTAGGTCTATTGTTTTTACATCGTATAAATCATACCCGTGGTTGGCAACTTGAGGGAACACGGAGCATAGATCTTTGAACTCTGAAGTTTTGTATTTCTTGAAGAAATTTCTGATTGATTTGTAGGTGAGAAGCTTATGAAAGAAAGCCTTTGCTTGACTGTCACTTGCAGTACTCCATCTATCATCAATTTGTCCAATTTGATAAAGATATTGAGGGCACCTTTTACTGTTGGTATTCCAATCATCGTTGTGCTTGAAGATATTACCATTTGGGTCAGATTTGTCGAGATCAGCTTCTTTCTTGCCACAGAGATAACACCAGACAGTGTTACAGTTGTCACATGTCATATGAGTTCACTCATCATCTTTGATTCCTCCTACTTTGCATTCAGGACAATATCTTTTAGTTCCTTCTTCAATAGCTTTATCCCAATCCTCTTTAATGTCCTTGTGTTCATAGCATTTATAATGGCTCATCATGCCTTCTTCTGACTTCATTTCCTCTAGCTCGTCTTCAGTGACCGCCATCCCTTTAGGCACCTATACATTAGAGCTGAACTGTTACTTTGAATTCTTTGAAACAAACTGAGCAGCTTCCTTTCTGGCAATCTTCTTTTCTACAATAGAAGAAGTTTGCAGAATTGTCAATGGTCCAGACTTCGAAGTATTTACAGAATGGACAACTCATGACTTTGTCAATTTTAGGATCAACAATCTTCATGGCTTTGTACATCAAGTACATTTCGAGTTGTTCTGGCTCCATTTGCATCTCAAGCTGGACAGAGTTCAATTCAACAGCACACAAAGAACATTTGGCTGGTATCTTATTTTCAGGCTCTGAGAGAATGTTTGCCACGTATGTCTTTGCTCACCCGGTACACATATCATGGCCTTGGCTACATTTGACTCCATTGTGTTGTCTTGAAAGGCTATCTCCACATGCTAAGCATGCTACGTTTGTGTCTTTCTTATTAGACTCCATAATATTTTTATAAGATGCTATTTTGTTTAAGCTCTTAGGGGTTTTGGGGTTTTGGGGTTTTGGGGTTTTGGGG